CGCATAGGAAGGTGGAAGAAAAGAGAATCAAATTCGACAGCTAAGGCTCGTCATAGTGGGAAGTAATTTGAGAGTGGATTTTTGGAACTGGTTGTATCGGAGGACCTTATTTTAAATACTTTGAAAATCACATTTATGGTTTCAAAAAATTCTGAAAAAAATTATGCATGATCCTATGGATGAATATTACACGTGTGTAAAATCTGATGATGAAATAAGTAAACATGCGACATATACAAAAATGAAAAAAATGATGATTTCCAAATAGTGGATAATGCATGCACTGTTCATCTTGACAAAATCACGATTTTGTCATTTTTGTGTAACTCACATGGTTACTTATTTCAGCATCAAAATTTACACATGTGTAATATACGTTCATATAAACATGTTAATTTGTTCTCAAATTGTTTTGAAACTTCAAAATAGTATTTCGGCACAGTTTAAAAAATAGGGCTCCAATGCACTCAGGTTCCAAAGTGACTTTTTGAAAGTAATTTAGACTAGTAACATGCATATGCTACTAGGCTATGTTACTATCTTTATTACGGGTAATAACATCTGTGTGGCATCATGGAAGTTTTCATTTATTTAGATGTAGATTTTTTTTTGCCTTGGGTGCGTTATATTACAATAACATATTTTGTTAGCACGAACACCTTTCTAATTAACTACTTGCCACATAAGCAAGCTTGTCATCTTTAATACAATACAGACACAAACGCTTATACATATGCACATATATTCACCCTTATGAACATGCACACCTTACCCCTATGAGCACCTCTGACAGAACGAGCCGGCACATCATCCTGAGATTGACAAAGTTGATATAGACGACTTTGTAGTCAACGAGAATGTCTCCGTCCATTGAATGCACATCATCGAAAATGCTGAAATAAATTAAAAAAAATACGATCATCAATACCAAATCTAGGCCTTAAACCTTGAAATGTGTTATATTCTTTTATTACGACCATCAATACTAAGTCTCTTTATCAAAAAAAATACTAAGCCTATGCCATGAGCCTTGACCTGCGTTATATTCCTAGCTAAAGGTACTCCCACTATGTCCAGCATAATCAATCGTAGGTCTTAGAGCATCTTCAACCGTTGGCTTCTTTAGGAGGCATAAAAATCGTCGCCCGAGGGCGAGCCAACAGTATAATCAGCTCCGGCGGCGGTTAGGCACCTAGCCATCGCCCCACGCATTGATGTCGGCCCAGTTTTCGGGCCACTTTCGGCAAAAAAATGACTCGATATCAGCGAGAATCAACCCATATTCGACGTGGTTCGTTGCGAATTCTCAACATAAATAATTTTTTATCACATAGTTCATCACAGAAAATTAATAAAAATCAAATAGTTCAACAAAATAGTGCAACAACAAATAGTTCAGTACAAATTATATAGTTCAGCAAATAAAAATTCATATTTCATCACACGTCGAGCTAGGCGTCGCCCTTGATCCTTCATATATGCTCCACCAGATCCTGCTGCAGTTGTTGATGCACCTGTGGGCCTCAGATCTCCTGACGCATATTGAGGTAGCTAGGCAGTCCAGGTTGCCGGTAGCTGGTGACCAACTTCGGCGAGAGGACCCTGCCTATAGTATGGTTCAGTGTCAAACACCGCCTCTTCCTGCTCGCTCTCAATGATCATATTATGCAAGATGACACAACAAGTCATGATCTCCCACATTTGATCTTTCGACCAGTTTTGAGCAGGGTAACGGACAACAACAAATCGAGATTGGAGCACACCAAATACCCCGCTCGACATCCTTCCTGCAAGCCTCCTGAACCTTGGCAAAGTGGGACTTCTTGCCTCCTGGCACAACATTTGAGATAGTCTTCACAAATGTAGACCATCTCGGATAGATGCAATCAGCTAGGTAGTACCCCTTGTTGTAGTGCCGTCCATTGACCTCGAAGTTCACCGGAGGAGAATGACCTTCAACAAGCTTGGTAAAGATAGGGGAGCATTGCAGCACGTTGATGTCATTGTGAGTTCCTGGCATGCCAAAAAAGGAGTGACAAATTCATAGGTCCTGTGCGGCCACCGCCTTAAGTACCACGCTGCAACCGCCTTTGGCGCCTTTTGTACATCCCCTGCCAAGCAAATGGGCAGTTCTTCCATTTCCAATGCATGCACTCGATGCTTCCAAGCATCCCAGGAAATTCTCTTGCTGCATTCGGTGCTAGGATCCGAGCAGTGTCTTCCGCATTGGGTGTTCGCAAGTATTGCGGTCGAAACACTGCCACCACTACCCTGCAGAACTTGTAAAAACAATCAATGGTGATGGACTCGGCCATGCGTCCATAGTCGTCGAGTGAATCATCAGAAGCTCCATATGCAAGTATCCTCATCACTGTCGTGCACTTCTGGATTGAGGTGAATCCAAATTTGCCGGTGCAATCCTTCTTGCACTTGAAGTAGCTGTCGAACTCCCGGATGGAATTCACAATTCCGAGAAAAAGTTTTCGCCTCATCCAATAACGGCGCCGAAATACTTTGTCGCCATTCAGTGGAGCGTCCGCGAAGTAGTCCGAGTAGAGCATGCAATAGCCTTCGAGACGATGCCGGTTCTTTGCTTTCATCCGCCTCGGCACCAAGTCACCTCGTCGCGGCTTTTCATTGCTTCCCAGCAGGCCGGCGAGGGCGGCGAGGACCATGAGATGTTCCTCTTCCTGAACGTCGGCATCGGCTTCCTCCTCCAGCAGCACGGCGAGCGCCTCCTCGTTGTCCGAGTCCATTGCCGAGCAGGCAAATCACCGAACACCTTGCGGGTGTGGTGGGCACGCACCCGCCGGTACACTGCCCCTGCGCGGCCGGAACGCCGAAAAAATCGCCCAGACGGTGGTGGAGAGGCTGCCTCGGCGAAACCTCTTCTCTTTTTCCAGCGGAGAATAGCCTATCTAGCGGTGGTGGGCGGTGGGCGGCGCCGGGATCAGCTGGGTGGCAGCCGAGTGCGCGGGGGGTGAAAGGCGAATCTGGATGATAAGCTTGACTTTTCGTCTGACGGTGTAGGTCACACGTACTTTTCCCTTGCGTCAGAGCCCCCGAGCCCCCTCCCCCCCTCCCGTGCGCCGGGTTCGGCCTGCGATCACCAGGCCCAAAAACGGGTCATGCCCGCGAATTTTGGCGTCTTGAAGGCGCGATTGAAACATTTTTTCGACGCTGGCGAAAAAAAATCGTTTGGGGACCTATTGAAGACGCGGGTGGAGATGTTCTTACGGTCGGTGCGGAGCCACGGCGCGACCCAGCGCCGGTCGCGATCGCCCTTCGCCTTTAAACTCACCTCTTCCTTCGCCGACCAAATACCCAGTTTCCCCCTTCCCCTCCCTCACGATCCCCGCGCCGCGACAGGCCTCCCCATTCCAGTTACAGCGCGGCTACGCCTCAGCCAACGGATCCCGCGTCGTCGAGTCCCCAGCCGCACTCCAGGCCGCGCCGTCCGGGCTGCCGCGAGCTTCCGCCGACGCCCCACGCCGTCGACGAGCCTCTCCCAGTCGTCCCAAGCCGCCACGAGCCTCCCTCGCCATAGCGCTCCTCTGCTGCTGTCCCCGCAGCGACGAGCTTCCGCCGACGCCCAGCACCTGTCTTGCTCGGTCCCGCCGACGCCACGCCTCCTGCCGCGTACAAGTAAATTGCTTGCGAACTCCCTTTCTTTTTTGATAATTCTTTTTCCATCGGGTAGGCCGGGTATGTCTAGCCCACGCAAAACTTTCGGATTTTTAGAATGATTAAAAAAATGTAAAAGGCCCATGCTTCCGGCCCAACAGCGAGCCCGTCACCTGTGCCCTGTCTCTGTCGCTCGTGCTGTCCTCTTCCAATCGAGTCGAGCTATCGATCCAGGCAAACGCCGCCGCCGCCGCCGCGCCGCCTGCCCGCCTTCCGCCTCCACGACTGGCCCGGCCCCGCAGATTCTGCCCAAGCCCCAGCTCAGCCAAATCTCTCCTGTAGTTTACTGTCGCTGTGCCCTGCAGATATCACTATCACTTGCCCCTCTGTGGCAGTTGTCCATTCGATTGCAAGTCTGCCTGTGAAGGTATAGATCATGTTTTACTGACAAGATCATTGGTAGAGGTACTGTTACAGCAGAAATATAAGGTTGTGTTTGCTGGTATGCATCGATGTTAGGCTCCACTTCTAGTTTGTAGTTTTACAGTCTGTCATTTATACAAGAATCTACTTCGAGGATCAGATCTTGCTAACTTGGGCAACTTTCATGCAGGCTCACATTCCTACATCTACGGAAATGCATCCCCATCTAACCCTACACAGGCATCCTATGTGTGCTGAGGTATCTTTGTCCTGACCTCTGGCTCTATCTGAAGCTTTGTCATTCCAAGTGTATATTTTCACAGAAGTTCCCAGATTATAAAATTTAATGTCCTTGTTGCCCAGATTATCGAAGAATTCCAGAAGTGCCATGTGGATCACCCCATCAAAAAATTCTTTGGTGAATGCACAGATCTTAAGATTAAGCTTGATCGGTGCTTCCGGCAGGAGGTAAGCAACCTTTTGCCAAGTTAGAGTCGTCGCTATAATTTATTTATTTTGTTCTCTATCATAATTTGTAGGAGTTGTTTCTCTCCCTAAATGTGCTACTCTCCTTGTGAAACTCAGAAAGCTGTGAAGAGAAAGGCAAACTTTGAAGAGAGCAAGAAATTTAAAGAAAGGTTGCAGGCTTATAAAAAGGAAATGGCTGAGAAAGAAAATGAATCATAGCTTCGAACGGAGGACAAGGACATTCACTGAATGCTATTTTGCTGCAATCCTGTGGCTTCAACTTTGTGAAACGAAGTTCCGGACTTGTCTTTACTTCATGTTTACATCACATATCTACCGTTATAAGATTACAGCTGAGGTCATATAATCTATTTAGAAGTTCAAATTTCCCTCTCTGGCTGTTGCTATTCATGGTTAGTCTATTCCCATCATATATATAGACAATAAATCTTGCTCCAAGTTGGTGTTGTACTGTAAAAACTACTATATGAAATCTTTTTTTTTCTTCTTGAAACTTCTGTATGAAATCTTCACAACTATGAAATGAGTGGCAAGTAAATCCAGTATGTTTTCTGGTACTTTGCTTCTGGAATTAACTTATTATATGTATAGGCACCGTCCTATAAGGTAGGAAAGTACTGTTTATTAAATTACATTGCTATGACCTAGGAATAGCAAGATGGAAACTATTCCTTGTCAGAGTCCATATGAAATATCGAGACTGTGATTCACACTCAGGTCAATAGAATGAACATTGCTGACCCTCGAGCATTGATAAATATGGATGGTTTCATTTCATTATTGTCCAGTTTGTTTGATACCCCCTCTGTTCAAGAATATAAGGTGTATTGATTTTCGCGTAAGTCAACCATTTGAATGTTTGACCAACAACAACAACAATAACAACAACAAAGCCTTTAGTCCCAAACAAGTTGGGGTAGGCTAGAGGTGAAACCCGTAAGATCTCGCAATCAACTCATGGCTCTGGCACATGGATAGCAAGCTTCCACGCATCCCTGTCCATAGCTAGCTCTTTGGTGATACTCCAATCCTTCAAGTCTCTCTTAACGGACTCCTTCCATGTCAAATTCGGTCTACCCCGCCCTCTCTTGACATTCTCCGCACGCTTTAGCCGTCCACTATGCACCGGAGCTTCTGGAGGCCTGCGCTGAATATGCCCAAACCATCTCAGACGATGTTGGACAAGCTTCTCTTCAATTGATGCTACCCCAACTCTATCTCGTATATCATCATTCCGGACTCGATCCTTCCTCGTGTGGCCACACATCCATCTCAACATACGCATCTCCGCCAGACCTAACTGTTGAACATGTCGCCTTTTAGTCGGCCAACACTCAGTGCCATACAACATTGCGGGTCGAACCCCCGTCCTGTAGAACTTGCCTTTTAGCTTTTGTGGCACTCTCTTGTCACAGAGAATGCCAGAAGCTTGGCGCCACTTCATCCATCCGACTTTGATTCGATGGTTCACATCTTCATCAATACCCCCATCCTCCTGCAGCATTGACCCCAAATACCGAAAGGTGTCCTTCTGAGGTACCACCTGGCCATCAAGGCTAACCTCCTCCTCACACCTAGTAGTACTGAAACCGCACATCATGTACTCGGTTTTAGTTCTACTAAGCCTAAACCCTTTCGATTCCAGGGTTTGTCTCCATAACTCTAACTTCCTATTTACCCCCGTCCGACTATCGTCAACTAGCACCACATCATCCGCAAAGAGCATACACCATGGGATATCTCCTTGTATATCCCTTGTGACCTCATCCATCACCAATGCAAAAAGATAAGGGCTCAAAGCTGACCCCTGATGCAGTCCTATCTTAATCGGGAAGTCATCAGTGTCGACATCACTTGTTCGAACACTTGTCACAACATTATCGTACATGTCCTTGATGAGGGTAATGTACTTTGCTGGGACTTTGTGTTTCTCCAAGGCCCACCACATGACATTCCGCGGTATCTTATCATAGGCCTTCTCCAAGTCAATGAACACCATATGCAAGTCCTTCTTTTGCTCCCTATATCTCTCCATAAGTTGTCGTACCAAGAAAATGGCTTCCATGGTCGACCTCCCAGGCATGAAACCAAACTGATTTTTGGTCACGCTTGTCATTCTTCTTAAGCGGTGCTCAATGACTCTCTCCCATAGCTTCATTGTATGGCTCATCAGCTTAATTCCACGGTAATTAGTACAACTCTGAACATCCCCCTTGTTCTTGAATATTGGTACTAATATACTCCGTCTCCATTCTTCTGGCATCTTGTTTGCCCGAAAAATGAGGTTGAAAAGCTTGGTTAGCCATACTATTGCTATGTCCCCGAGACCTTTCCACACCTCAATGGGGATACAATCAGGGCCCATCGCCTTGCCTCCTTTCATCCTTTTTAAAGCCTCCTTGACCTCAGACTCCTGGATTCGCCGCACAAAACGCATGCTGGTCTCATCAAAGGAGTCGTCCAGTTCAATGGTAGAACTGTCATTCTCCCCATTGAACAACTTGTCGAAGTACTCGCGCCATCTATGCTTAATCTCCTCGCCCTTCACCAAGAGTTGGCCTGCTCCGTCCTTGATGCATTTGAATGTTTGACCAAGATAATAAAATAAAATAACAATATCTGCTATACCTAATAGATAAAATATGAAACTACTTTTCATGATGAATCAAATGGTATAATTTTGTATTGTGGATGTTGATATATTTTTCTAAAAACTCAGTCGAACATGCACTTGTCTGACTTTTGGAAAACAAATACACTTTATATAAAGGAACCGAGAGCCGTTTTCCCTCCGGGGTCCATGAGGGCATGTACAATGGTTGATAAGACAGTCTTATCTTAAGTCTTGCATATAATTTAGAGATGACAATAAAAAGAGTCTACAATGGGTCATCTCTTAGTCTCATCTTCAATAACTAGCTATTCCTAAAGACGTGGTGAGACATATTATGCTAAGAGATCATCTCTTGTCTTTTCTTAAATAAGAGAAGACAAGCCTTTTCTTATGAGTTCTCTCTCCTTCACCTCATCATTTATCCTACGTGGCACTCCTAAGGTAGCATCATTGTACATGCCCTGATGCGTGGGCCGTGTGCGTAGCTGGGGCCACCTTCCTATGGTGTTTTCCGTCGCGCCCGTGTGCGCCATCTTGCGTGTTGCTCCCGCCGAGTGAACCCGGCTTGTCAGCGTTGGTGGCACCTCGCCGGGCCAGTTCGCTCATGCGGGAGACTCGGCGTGTGAGCGGTGGACGTCTGGACTCACAAGCCGGCTGCGTCCGGCCGGGTCTCCGAGATCCATGATGTGTGGGCTGCATGCGTAGTTGGGGCCACCTTCCCATGGTGTTTTCGGTCGTGCCCGCGTGCGTCATCTTGTGCGCTGCTCCCCGCGCATCGGGTTAGCCAGGGGCCGGCTTGTTAGCGTTGTTGGCACCTCATCGGGCTGGTTCGCTCATGCTGGAGACTCGGCGTGTGAGGCCAACTTCACCGCGTGACCCTATCATGTCCGACCCCGTTCGTTTGGGGTAAAAGGGACAAAGGCAACGACCCAACGCGCAATCCTATCTTGTTTTTTTTGTCCGTTTAGTGTCCGTTTGACCCCATATCCGGAGCAAAGTTGGGATGGATTTGGGTCAAAACGGACAGCCACGGACAGCCCGCCTGCGTCCTCGCGTCCGCGTGTGGCCCGCATGGCAGCCACCTACCCCGCTTTTCTTCCCTTTCCCTCTCTCTCCTCTGCTGGACGCTGGAGCCGCGTCGTCTTCCGTCGTCTCGCCGGAGCGGGAGCGCGTGGGGCGCTGGTGAGGCGGGGCCACGACGCGCAGGCGAGCAGGCGCATGCGGCGAGCGGGCGTGGCGGCGGCAAGCTCGCGTGAGAGGAGGAGTACGAGTGGCGGCGACAGACTGCAGCGCGGGCACGGCTGGAGCGCGACGACGAGCTGCCGCGGGCGGGGCGGCCAAGCGCATGGGGCGGAGCAGTAGGGCGCGGCACAACGGGAGCTGGCGCGGGCGCGCCGAGCGGAGGGCGCGGCGGGCGCTGGCGCGGGCGCGCAGAGCGGAGTGCGCGGCGGGCGCTGGCGCGGGCG